ACCCACCTGCCGCCTTGCATTTTAAGGTCCACCTCTATCGGTGGCCATACAGCTGGCGGCGGGCGACACTTGGCAGGAATATCGTTTTACCCTGAGTAACCCTGGCCGATCTTGCCTCCGCTTTTTCTGTTTCACTCCATAATTATATCTGGGCTTTGTTCTACACCCGAGAACCTTACCTGTGGCCTGAGATAATTGAGCGGTATGTGCGGGGGTGCACACACCATAGAGTCGTCCCAGGAACGTGCAGCCTCTGAGCCTCCGCCTTACAGGGATGTGTGGGCGGCAGGACCCAGGCCAGCGGGGAGGCGGCCACGCTGGCGACCACCCTAAGTGTACGTGTGCGGGGGAGGGGGTGGGGTAGTGAGGATGGTGATGATGTAGGAAGAGGATGGTGAGGCATATAGGTTTGTGACGATGATGATGATGATGTGGGTGGTAGTGTGTCAGTGGTGGGTGCCATATTATAGACAGCATGGCCCCACCTGCTCCCCTAAAGAGTGGTTGGTAGTAGTGTATCCCGTCCACCCCTGATGATGTCCAGGACCCGCACGTTCTAGCTACCACCAGGTGAGAACACACCTGATGCCTCCCAAGACTTAATCAACAAATTTGTTTGACGGAAAATGCCCACTAATTCCTCGTTCAGTTATATTGGTTAGTGTCTGTCAGATTTTGTCTTCACTTTCATTGACATGCGCCAAGAGTTTTCACTCATCTTTCATCAGCGAGAGAGTGTGCACAATAATAAGGGTTGTGTGAAGAGGACGAGGGTGAGTAGTGTGGGTGAAGCATGATGAAGATGTAGGTCTCAATAGATGACGCTGATGTGAGTATTGGCCAGATTATACAATCCTCTGACACGTTGTATTGCCACACGCAACATGCAAATGTTCCCAACATGCTAACCATCGACCACGTAAATAATAATTCTCCCATTGATGAAGTACCACCACATACTGCGTGAATATTTCAGTAGTAAACATATGACTGAATTTGTGGGTGTTATGGTGTCGACACAACCTTGGTGATACCTGATTGGTGATGACTGGGTGTTGTGGGGTGTGCGTGGTGGGAGGCATCGGGCTGGTAAATCTGTTGTGATTGCGGAACTCCTGCATATCACAATAGCGAGCAACGACTGCCCCGAGGGCCGCACAAAGGAACTTCCAACAAAGGTGAGAGGTAGGGTTGTTGTTGTGTTGTGCTTGTCAATACTCCAGGTCGCGTGCCATCTGTTGGCCGCCATTGTTTGTGGATGCAGGATCACCAGTAACCCTCGCTTTGTTGGTGATGCCGCCGGTGGTGGGTGGGGGATGTTTTGTCGGTGGTAGGGTCCGATCGTAGGGGCAGGCACGTTTAGGTAGTGGCGTTGGGCCTCGGCCTTGGGGACGTGGCCTTTATGCATGGGACATTGTGTGCATTTGTCTTTGTGTTGTGTCCGTATCGGTGGGGGTGAGTGAACTAACTGCGGGTGACGGGGTCCGCTGGTCACTCTACCTGCAGCTTGCCGCTGAGTCCCTGCTTTTTGTCCACCTGTGTATTCACTCCCCTGGCCGCCACCTTCCCTCCCCACTCGTGATACCTGGCCGCTCATTCTCACCACTCGTGGTGTTATTCATATTCTGTCGTAGATCATGAATGACGTAGTGGGGCGTGACTTTATGTTGGTCATGAATGGCGTAGTGGGGCGTGACGTTATGTTGACGAAATTGATTGAAAAATTCAGTATTGGTAATGCATTCTTAGAAAGTGTTGCACCCTGTTTACATTTTCATCTAGAAGTTTACTCATAAATAATTTAATGAAAATTGGGGTTAAGCCGAGTGCAGTAGTGACGGTAGGTGTAGAATAAGGTACGTAGCTTCTTCGCCAGACGAGGGAGGGTTCTGCCAAAGGTGTGACGTCAGGTAACCATTTTCTCACTCCAGGTCACCAACAAAAGTCTCACTCTTAGTAGTTCACCTTCGCTATACTTTCGGTGTTGGAGGCGTCTTTGTAGCCATTGACATCAAAGGATGTAAAACTAATACATTTAACTTCATATTTTAGTAATAAACCACTACACCATGATGGGTATGTTTATCTGATAACACCTAGCAGTGTCTTCTTAGCTGAGCAGGCTACTGTGATGTATTATGGGGGAATTATAAGTCATGTTAAGTTTTATATCCACCTCTGGTCCTAAACTAATGCAACGTGCTGTAATCATAACAGTTGACGTGCATGGTCGTCTCATTGAACATGATAACTCATTTAAAATATAAAGGAGACCGTGACGTGTTTCCGGAAATTTATCTCGACATGCTCCGGTCGGTAAAAACAGTGTACAGAACCACCCAGTAAAATATAGTAATCCCTTCGAACGAAATTGGTCACGGTGACTTTATTGGGGAAAGTTGTAGGTTACATTAATATTTTAGCTTGCAACTCTGGTTCTATAATAGATTCCTTGAGTTAGATTATCCCGTGATACCGAGTGACCTCTTTGGGAAAAGTAACTGGTTTCCAAACTTGATGGGCACGTACAAGAAACACCTGGACCACACAACTCTTGTTTCAATCATTGGTATTTTTTTTTTTTTTTCAGAACTGAATTACTGGAACTTTAGAATGGTGAATTTAAAGTCGTCGGACTATGCAGACAAACTAAATATACGAATGTAGCGGTAGTTCTTTAGTTAAGTTCTGAGTACAGTGACCTCACTGTTTTCCATGCGGCAGATATTGTCATAAATCTTCAGGTGAAAATGAAGCCACGTGTGTGTACGAATATCACCAAAGCTGAAAGTTAATATAATTAGACGTTATGAACGGTATAATATTTGTTTGGGATCTCCACCAATGACTAAAAGTTCAAGTTATAGGTTTAAATCATGAAATAGTATGGCTGTGATTATCGCAGTGTATATTGGTGAGACCATTATGATTCAAGATGCAGTGAAAGGTGAGGGTGAGGGAGGTGAGTAATAATGTGTTCCAGGAATGTTTTGTGATCACCGGCAACCCAACTGTCTCGCTGCATTCCAGCACTTCCGCTCTAACTGGGTCGGCCTTTACCTCCCTCCCACCACCAACCATACCTGGCCTAGGTCCCCCCCCCCCCCGTGATATCTTCCTCTGGTTCTCCTGCAAGAGTGACTATTGCCTTATACAGTGTCTTGCAATTGATCAACACCCGTTATTTGTGTCAATATTCAGCTCTGTTTATAGTGTCGTCTTGTAGTGTCAGAATTGATTGTCTTGTAACTTGTCTAAGAACTGATCCAATCCTCTATTTCCCTGTGTCAGTATTGATCACTGCCTCATACAGTGTCTCGGCTACTGCAGTATATCTCCCTATTGTTACTGACTGTCTAGTATACTGTGTGATGCTTTGATCGCCTTCTGATATTTGCAGTTTTAAATAAATCTGTCATAATGGGTCCTCCTCCCTCCAGTATTGTCACCGTCTCACTGCAGGAGTACGGGTCTTACAAATAACTGTCTTTTCTTTTCTCTCATATTGTAGGTTAAATCGTGTTGTGGTTGGTTTGGATTTGTGTTTGAGTTCGTATTTTCTTGTGTTGTTTTTGCCGCGTCATATTAAAGGTAAGCTTCGAGTTCTTAACTATTCGCTTTCATTTACACCAAAGTGTTTAATGACGCTCTTCAATTCCGATTGGTGGGTTTATTCCGGCTGAACTTTTATCAGCTGTGATCACTCAACCTCTCCTGGCTGGTTCCCCTGTACACTTGTATTACTTACAGCTATGATTTCCAAACTGCTATTTTTATTTTACGTCTTCCATTATAATCAGGTACACAAGAGTGTGTGTGTGTGTGTGTGTGTGTGTGTGTGTGTGTGTGTGTGTGTGTGTGTGTGTGTTTATTGAAGCTTCTCTGTATATGCGTTCATGTACGCGCGCGCGTACATTTGTGTACATGTGTGTGTGTGTGTGCCTGGGGGATAAAGAGGATAGACTCAGTTAAAATCCACGTAATTGTATCACAGCGAACTGCTTGTTGCTACGTAACAAGTGCGACCATAAATAATTATAATGTGTAATTGGGCAGCAAAGGTGAGTTATTGTAAAGTTGAATAACGCGCGTAAAAGGTAACAGGTGTGTATACGAAAAGTGGAGGGTGAGGCGTGATGTACCGAGGCAGGAGGGGGAGAAGTGAGAATATATAGGGGAAGCGAGTCACAGGTATACGCTTGAAATGGGGTAATGAGCGGTAGGTAAATATGTGACCTAATGTTGAGCGTGTGCGGGGCAGTAATGTAGGGCAGCAATGACGTGCTTTAACCCAGATTACTGCACAAGCTAAGCCAAGGACGTAACATTAACCAGAATAACAGTAAGACGTTTGAGTGAGTAAAAATCAGATGAGGTGTGGAAAAGATTGTCAAACACAGATTGTGTCTTCTGTGAAGCTCCGTAACTTTTCCGTCTAGACGTTTTACGTTCGATCTCAATATTTCGCGGTTGACGTATTTTGTCTCAGTCTTCTAGTTTAACTCGGATACTTAAATGCAGTTTCTCAATTATGTTGCTTAAAAACCATAAAAATAGTACTGAATTGTAAACTACCCCGATGTGTATCGTGTAACACTTGATATCCCTCTATTTCGCATATTTTAGGTTCATAATGTGTGGGTTTGTTTTGTAAGTTTATATGTGGTTGATGCCCCTTGGTACAAAGTTGTGGCGTGGGGTGTGGGGACTTGTACCCAGGGGGAGCCTGAGAGACCTCCTCACCTGGGGATCAATACGCCCTACCGCCCCAGCACCCACACTCGCCTGCCAGACGCACGACTATTTTCCATTCCGTCTCGTAAGTCAACATTATTATCATAACAGTCTTCCTGTAAAATTCACAGGACAAATCCTATTATATTTGAGAATATCAAAGTACATAAGATGCGTGTTGTCTAAGAGGAAGTAGTCCGTGAGATTGTACGAAATTGTTGTCATTTAGTCGGCAGCGTGTGTTGAAAATGTTCAGTGTGGCTGGTGGAAGGATAAGAGGAGGTTTGGGTCGGTGAGGACCGCGGGGACGGGACAAGGACCCTTTTCTTGCACGTGTGCAGACGCGTGCATCACTGCCAAACTGCGAGTGCTTAGCCCACCCTCGTGTGTCCTAAGGAATGATAATAGTGATAGAAAGTTCAGAAGGGAGAGAGACGACGGAGAGGCTGTAGACGGGGAGTTGAGTGACCGTGCGGTGTGAGGTGTTCGCCCCAGCCCCGTTACAGGACAAAGACCGAATACTGTGTACACTAACCTACCACCATTCTCTTCAAACCTCTCCCACCCTTAAGTACGGCGACGACCCTCCATGTGACTTACATCTCATAACTGTCTCAAATAGTCATTATATTGTATCCGAACACTGCCTCTTTCGATGATCTCCTGTTAATGCTCAAGTCAAGAATACGTAGCTCCTAGTATAACAAGTAAAATATGTAACAACATCACTGCCAGTGTGTTAAACCTTCAGGGAAAACTGCCATCAATACACTAGCAAGTATTCATGCAACAGTTCTACAGACTAACAAGATCTGTTCAGTCTGGATTTCCAACCTTTCTTTGATGGTAAGTTGAATGATTGGTATTGAGAATTGTTAATTAGTTTAAATGAGAATGAGGTATTAGTTAGTTATTTTAAGGTTGTACTGTAGTTCATCTTAGACAGGCTTACGTGATATTTAAGAGGAGACGCTGGCGGGCCGGCCTGGCGAGGCTAATCGCTCTGTGGTACAGCCTTTGGAACTATGGCAACGTCGCATTCATCTCGCACCACATTTAGAACGGTTATCCACAGACTATTTTTTCATACAAAGTTTATATTTTTCATATGAGACCATATCATTACTTAAACCAGCTGTCTTCAGAAGACTGACAAGATAATCTTTTGTGTTGGAATCTTGTTAATATTAGTCTAGGCGAGATTGTCGCAGTCGTGTATCGGTGGTGAGGCGATGTGGCAACGGTGTTTTGTCCATACACAAGCCCATCGAATTTTGTTATCAGAGTAGTATTTTTTTTTAGATAATAAGTATTAGTAACGTTTATAAACGGAAAGTCCAGTTGAAGAATAAAATCATGCAATTTTGTTGGTGGTAATGAAATGAGATTAAAGGGAATTTCCCGGGTTGGCATTTAAATGGCAAGATTTTAAGTGCGTAAAGACTGCTGATGTAACAAGCGACGCGCGTGTGGGTGTTCAAGTACAGACATTTCTAACTTTCTTTTCAGCCCATGCAGGTTTCTTATTTTTCATCAGTATAGTTACGTTTTTTTTCGTATAATCTTTTTAAGCGGCTGCACTGAAATAAGTATTAAATATGTAATAGGGACTTTAAGCGATAATTTGGTTCTGCTTGCTTCGCGGAAATGTCTCGTACTATGTCTAACGGCCGTTTTGAGCGTTTCCCTGGACTGGTGGACCTTAGGCCTATAGGCCGGCTTACACCAGATTCATCCTCGTGCTACCGCCATCTCCAGCGGCCAGCCAGTGCTGCACGTCGGGCTCAAGGTAGTGATGTCATGTTGTTGCTCCCGAGGTCAACTATTCAATAATAGTTATCTTTTGTATAGTGATACGGTTATCTCATTACTATTTATCTAGAGGTGATTTGTTTAACAATCGTATCTACAGATTCACTACCTTTCCTTTTAATGAGTTCAGATTTTAACATGAGCCACGGTTTTAAAAACAAGTGCAGAATAACGTGTCAGTGCCTCAATAGTTTTATGATTATGTAAGCATTGCTTAATGAGGCTGATGTGTAGCCCCAATTACTGCTGTGTTGTACATAAGAACCTAAGAAAATAAGGAGTCTGCAATAGGCCGGTTGGCCTGTTTGGGTATTATTACTTGGATTGAACTTTCTGGGAAGTATGAGGCTTTGGCAGTGAAGTCATTACTGGCCTGTTCTGCTTATTAACTAAAGCCTGTTGGCGGATTACCTTATCACTAATGGATGAAATGTCGCTCATGACATTAAGAACATAAGAATGGAGGAAACGACGTTGTGTGGGTCACGTATTTCAATAAAACAATTGATATAATAATTCTCTTACATATCAGATGCCTAAGTGTGATTGAAATGGTGTAAGTAATGTTTTATTCTGTGGTTGAAACTTGAAAGCTGTATAAACCAAATTATGGTGCATATATTGGTTTGCTGTCCTCATAACTTTTCTTTTACTAGATTTTTACTTTTAGGTGTTGATTCATAGAATACAATTCATGGTCTATAAGATGTTTTAATGTTTAGAACACAAATTTGGTATAGAAGCAAGGTAAAGTGTGACTTGAAAACTACAAATACAAGCTGCCTAGCATTGGTTAAAATACTGTACCTACCTTTTTTTTTAATGTTCTCACCAAAACTACCCTAGGATCTCTGGGTTTGGTTGATGGTTGTGATAATTCGTTACCTTGACGAATGATCTATGATAAAATTTTACGTGTAGGTTATGAATTAATTTTTGAAGAAAGCAGTCAAGTGCAACGTAAAACATGGAAATTATCAGATAAGATAGCGAATGTTCAGTTTATTGTTGCATAGTGGACGTTCAGTAAGTACTTGCTTTAATTCCTGTTAACCCGTTTGACAATTTTAACGCAAGCGCCAAGGCGAGAGAACGGCTTGAGCAATTTTGTGTAAAATTTCATATTTCGTCTTTAAATAACTAGAGCAAGTCAGGCAGTTGTCATAACTGCCGTATGACCACTTGCTCGTCTCGCAATCAATTACCTTCTGTTTTCCTGTGTACGGTATTCTTAAGTAGTTAAATCAGTGTATGGTGCAGGAAGCCATTAAAACAAACGTGTGTCCCATACTTTAAATGCAGTCTCATAATTGACATTCTCGCGAGGAACGTGTGTACTTTACATACGATTTTTCAATGTTACCCTTAAAACCTGGTGCTATTTGTTACTAGTCTGATTTTTTTTATTATTACTATTGCTGTTTTATCCCCGGTGAGGATACCACCCGAGGCTGTCTTTTTATTTATTTTTTTAATTGTTTTGTTTGTATTACTGGTCATGGTTTTTATTTGTACCGTAGATGTTTTTGTTCTTGAGAAACGAAGCACACACTAGAATAATGTTTAAGAAAATCTTTCTAGTTAAAACCATTTGCCTACTCGAATGTAGTAAAGAGAACATGACAGTTATGAACAAAGTTAGCCGAAAATTAAGGAAATACAACTAATGTCTGTGCACTCGAACTAGGAGTCACAGCTGAGATGTTACCGCCACCGCCCGCCCAGGGTCACTGACACTTGGGGCTCTAGACTCCGGCACGCATACTCGTACTTCCCTGCTCATTTTGTTACCATATAATTTTTTCATCCATTTTCTTTTGTATATTTATTTTACATTTTATACTTGTATTGTACATTTACATTGTATTATCTTATAGTTACCTTTAATGGATAAATTTTTATTTTATTTTTTTATAAATTCATATTAATACATTTTCTTTTAGGGGATAAAATTCATTAGTAAAGTGGACAATGTTTTTAACCAAGATTGTCAATCCCAGTTGTATCACCAAATACCCGCTGGGGGAGACAAGTGTAGATGTTTAGTTGACTAAAGTGGCGCGACCTTGAGACAGGCCAGCACCTTGCTTATAGTAACAACAACTCGTCCCCGAGGCCATCCCCTCCAGCTGACTGGTTCCTCACGCAGCCATCGATCCCCTCAACATTACGAGTATAGCAATTCCCGAACGAGTAACACTAACACGCTAAAATACATTTTTGCATAATTTATGTGTAAAGGTACGTTGGGTTCGGAAATAGCAACTTGAGGGGTGAGTGTCTGGCATCGATTCTCAAGCGCTTGTACTGTAATCTCTGTGTGGGGGATTACTTTTGAATGGACGAGAAAACTAGGTCACAGATGCATATTAAGTCATAGTCCCATTATCTCCAGGTTTTGTTTAGTACAGAAATTTGGTGGAATGGTGGCGTAGGTGGGGTTTTAGGGGATAATAATATAGCGTAACTGCAAACAGTACAGTATTTTCCTTGAACACTGACTTCCTGCGTAACTCTTGGAAACGTTGTGCTAGCGGTTTTTATCCCTGTATATTTTCGTATGTTATGTTCCTCGAATTCCACTTTCGATTGTTTTGACCTTGGACAAGTTAGAGTCGAATGTTAAAAGTGATAACGGTATGTGTGCTTTGACCTTGCTGAGTTGCGCTTATTTGTGTAAAGCGGCAGGAATCTGCGCGGGAGTGACCAACTGACTTAGTGACCACGATAACGTCAACATGTAACCATGACTTTAACCAAAGTTGATATGTATGTGTATCACAAGATCTTGGAATTTACGGCACGATGAGGGTTTAGTCCGTATATAGTGATAAATCGTTGTTTGTTCTTAGCATAACTTAATCAGTGGTGAAAGGTTAGTGACCATATCATAATATTAAACATCGGTTCCATATTATATTCCGTGAATGTTTTATTTAGGAATCGGCCAATTTATTTCTGATCGGATATGCCTAATATATTGATTACAGGATCAATGACTAAAACAATAGGTTGGATGATATAATTACAAAGCTTGAATTGAGAAAAATTAACTACTAACATCAGTGAATAATCCTTCTGGGGCGAATGTTATTATAACGAGAGACAGATTTATGTAATAAATGTCGATAACATGTTGAGGAGTGAGGGTAATGTAATACGGATATAAAAACAAATTAACAGTAGAATTTATGTAATGTAATTGTGCGTCCTGTCCGGTGTCAGTTGTTTAAACCAGTAACGTGGGAAGTGGGTTAGTAGCCTCGGGATTGGCGCGCTCAAAATCGATATGAATTAGGGAATTAGTTTCCGGGCTACGCGGGTTTGTATTTGTACCTGTAGCACATATTGGGTCTGTTTGTGATTGGGGGGGCGTGATAAACATAGTCGTCGTGTGACTCGTGTGTTATATTATTTCAGAACGATGAATTGGTTTGTTATATGTAGAAATATTAACAGAAAGGCACGCAGAAAGTTGAGAAATGAAAATAACAGGACTGGCAGTAAAAATATCTGTGCGTCCCAGTGGGAACTCCGTACAGTGAATGTTAATTATAGATGGTACACTGGCAGTGAACTTGACCGACAGAAACATGGGAAACACCTGCAACACAATTTTGTTTTGAAGTTTAATTTATAACCTCGCTTTGGAAGGCTTGATTACCCTTCTTTCATTGGGTGGATCGCTGTGAGTAGTAAACCTGGGAAGGTAATGTCTGTAGGTTGTGGATCAGGTATTAAGAGTGGTGTCAGGTAGGAACCAGATGGTGGGTTCGTGGTGAGGACAGGTAGGTATGAAGGGAGGAAGAACGGGGTGGGGGTGGGGTGGGGGTTAGCCAAGTGGGCTGGCAGGCAGACAGACCACTCTCGTGTCGCTTGTCCACTCCCACGCTCTCCCGAAGCTTATTGGATATTCTCATTCTTGACATCACTAGCTGCCAACCTAGAATACCTGCATGTAGGCTTCCTCTTGTGAGGGTTGGGTTAGGTTCAACGGACTTTACTTGTCTTTAATAAACATACCGTACTGAATA